CTTGCTAGTTAGTTACCATACCACATCTTTCTATAAGAAATGGTGGCAGACAGGTAACTAGTTCAAGGCTTAAAAGAAACCATTGTTTGTCTTTGTCTTCCTAATTGAGGAAAGGATATAATTATTGAGCTTCCTAACCCTAATATTGATGTGCCAATGGCATGCTGTTACCTAAGATATATAATTACACACACTTCTTTTTTTAATCTCCTTTTGGTATAGCAAGTTCAAGACTTTACGAGATGTATGATTATGCCGAACGCTAATTACCCAGATATGCTACTAGATTTTCGGGACGAAAATGACTATCTCATGGTGGGACGAAAAATCGAAAACGGTGGAAAAGGGAAATTGCTGTTTTTTGTTATTACTACACTAAAGTAATGCTATGAAATAGCTGTTTTAATTAACAATGCTTTATTTCTACACTACTTCTTTATAAAGACACAAGGAAAAGTTGTATTAGTACAAACGTTTTGTTATAAAAAAAATTTATGAGTTTAATTTATATGTATTATGTAGTATAATTTTCTTTACAAAGTATTTAATATGAAGTTACTTACTTGTGACTGTATATTAATAGATAAAATAATATGACAATACGATGAATGTTTATTGGAAGTCGACGGTGTAATTTTTTATAACTAATCATGCATAAAAATTAAATTCGATCAAAAGTTATTCAACAAAGAGTTGAGGAATATATATATAATAAGATCATAAAGAAGTATTGAAATATATTATAGAATAAATAAGAAATCTCATTCAGTGAGGGATCCAGAAATTTTATATAGTGGCGACAATATTTATTTATATATTTGTAGTATTAAAAATTTTATATAGCTGACGTCACGTGGTGCGCGTTCGAGGTCGGTTTGCGTTGCGGCACCGAGCTCGGAGCTCGGTTACGCAGTACAGATAGTACACTAGCCCCCCGAGCTCCGAAGACCGTAGGTCGAGGAGTTAAGACCGAGCTTGCTGGGGGATTTTTGTAATTTTTACGAACTTTTTTACGTCGCACCTGGTAGGATCTGACGTAAAAAGTCCAATCTACGTCGGAGGTATGTTTGTCCGACGTAGATTTGACATTTTATGTCGGACCCTACCAGGTCCGACGTAAAAAAGACGCAAATTTGAATAAGAGAGTGCGAGACACACCGCGCGCATTCACTTTTCATCACTTTTCGTTTTTTTCTCTATAAACCCTCTCCCTCTCCTTTGTTACTGAATCGTTTTTTTATTTTTTGTAGAGGGATGAACTCTTTGTTACTCATTTGCACATTGTTGCTGCTCCTCAGGTATGAAACAAGGTTTCGTTAGCACTTTTCTACTTAGCATTGTTACTCTGGCTACCAGTTTTATTCGATTTTTTGGTTGTTCTATTTGTATAGGTAGTGAGCGTTTTTTTTTTGTTGTTCTACGAAGCAGAATGGCTTGTTCTGCAAGCAGAACCGTTCTCCAAGCAGAACGGGCCGTTCTGTCTACGTTCTTATGTTTTTTTTTTGTTTTTTTACTACTTTTTTACGTCAGATTTCGTAATGTCCGACGTAAATTTACGTCGGGTTTGTAGGTCCGACGTAAAATTTACGTCTCCCGCTTCTACGTCAGTACGTTTTCTGTTGTAAAAAGCCTAAAATATCCGACGTAGTACACCTCTTTTGTACTAGTGGTGTGTCATATGTGTACCTATTTTAAAAGAAAGTTTTAGGCCCATGTAAAACTTAAACATTTATATATTTTAGTATTTCTTACACTTCCAAAGAGATAAACAATGGATGTTTGAGATTGGGTCCATGAGAATGGATCTGTGTGTCTGTCATATATATACTAATTAATAATCCCTAACCTCACTTATTAATGGGTTAAAGCAAGCCACTATGGATTGCAATCTAAAGGATATTCCCCTTGAACAGTGCCAATTTACTTGCTCAAGGGGTTGTAATCAAGAAGATCTCATCAATGAAGAGGTTCGCATGATGTGGTATCTAGAGCCAAGGTTCAACAAGGGTAATCTCTAGTCTTGTTTTTTCCTTTTCCGGTCATGTCAATATCTTCTTGCTTGTTTTTTCTTGTTGTAGCCGAATAAATCATCAAAGCATACTCACATGATCTAAGTGTCTTGCCTTGCAGTTTGGGTTCATTTTATACTTTCTTGTGAACCTTCTTTGGTTGTGCTTTAGGTTTCCTTGCTAAGTGTTATTCGTCCTTTTCATTTTTAGGCTTGAGTCTCATATGAACATGAAGAACATGCTATGAACATGTTTTTCTATTTTTGAATCCATTCAAGTTTTGTCTAAGTCTTGTTATTCCATTTTGTCTACAAAATTCCATGTATGTATGCCAAACACCTTGCATGACTACATGAACCAAAATATTATGATGCATAACATGAAGTGGGCGTGACATTTAGAACCCATTTAGGAGTCATTCATACATGCTATTTAGTCTTAGCATGCATTTAAATTGCAGCCCACTTTTTCCTTGCATTCCTACTTGAATTGGTCAATTTTTGATGCTTGATAACCCTAAAAGAATCTAAGAGGTGTGCTGGAAAATTTGTGCAAAACAACTTGTACTAGATAGTACAAGATCATTTCCACTCAAAAGATACCCTAAACACCACTAAGAAACCGCCACTTGTCTTCTTCTCCCTTCTCCTAAAACTTAACCTAAATTTCTCTCCACTCACAAGTGCAAAACCTAAGCAACAAAAAGGCTGGGGGCACTCTGTATAATGTGGATCAGTCCCTGGATGTATCTGGGCAAATCAATTTACCAATACCATTATTTGAGCTTCAAATTTCAATATATTTTTTTTTGTCGCGCTTAATTTTTTGTTTTTCAAAATAATGAAAGAATTGTTTTTTTTTTTCTGCTCTAAGAAAGAAAAAAAAATGAAGATAAAAATATATATATATATATATACTCTAGGGGAAAACGGAAATCAACTCTCATGACTTCAAATAGGAGAGAATGAGAGATCGAGATAGTAATTTTAACAATTTGACGAGATTTTTTTTTATTATCAGTTAATATATACTTTAAGTGTATTTTTTAAAAAATAAATTACATTTTCAGTCTTTTTATTTTTATCTTGCAATTTTAGTTTTTATATATTTTTTAAAAATATGAAAATTTAATTTTATTATTAATTCAATTTGTTAATCATTAAATTTTTTATTTTATTTAATAATTTGTTATTATTTAAGTCACATAATATTTAATAACATACAATGTAAGAATAAAAATTAATAAATATATAAGTATTTATTTTAACAAGTGATTAATATTTATTTTATTAATAAATTTTATATACATATTTTTTAGTTTTATTTTATCTTTAAATGTTATATTGCTAGATGTTACATGAATTAAGTATGATTAAACTTTAAGATTTTGTTAATAAATGTCACTTTGAAAAAATAATTAAAATTTTACATTTTTAAAATTAGAGAGATTAAGTATTTTATTTTAAAATAAAAGAATAAAAATTATGAATTAACAAAAAATAAAGATAAAAATATAATTTAACTTTTTTATTTGAATTAAATAGTGTGATAGTTAAATAAAAAATAGAGATAAAAAACGTTTATACACATATCTTTATATATATATATATATATATATATACAAGGAGCATATCAAGTGAGAATGAAATTATTATGAGATATGAGAAGGTAAAATATAACCCTTAGATTAATCAATTTGAGGTTTAATCAAGTGAGAGAAAATTAATCTAAGGGTTATATTTTAACCTCTCATCTCTCATAATAAATTTCCTCTCACCTGATATGCTCCCTATATATATATATGAGGAGAGATCTATTTACTTTAAGAGTAAACCTATTTAAACTCACTTTATTCAATAACTCATGTTCTACATTAAATTTTAACAATCCATCCGTTGAATTTAAAATTCTAATGCATAAATCAAATCTGTAAATTTTTAGAAAATTTGAAAATCATTTGATATTTCATTTCATTAATTGAAATCAATGTATAAAATAATTTTATAATTATCTGTCAATTTGAATCAATGAAATAAAGTATCAAATAATTTTCAAATTTTCTAAAAATTTGCGGACTTGATATATACATTAAGAATTTTAAATTCAACGGTTGAATTATTAAAATTTGATATAAAACATGAATTATTAAACGAAATAAATAAATTTTATATATATATATATATACAAGAAGAGAGATATATTTATTTCAAAAATAAGTTTACCTAGATTTCTTTTTTTATTCTACATAAAATGATAGATACAGAAGAACACACACTAATGGCAAACTGAAGATCCTATTATCAAATTGAGGATCATCGAAAAAATTTCACTTAAATAGATATGGTTACCAAAATAGATTTTTATAACAGCATGAAAATAAAATTCGTATCATAAAAAATATAAACTTGGATCGAATTATGCAACATCTGTACCAATCCAAGATGACTATAAGATTTAGATAATTTCCTTATTTTATTATTTTTTAACTTTTAAAAAGGTGAAGATTTAATAAGCTTACATAATTGAATTTTGTTATATGTGACTCGTGTTGGTAACAGAGAGATAGAAAAGGGCGTGGGCGAAGGCATGATGTCATGCATCACCAATGTTGGTGGGGCATGACAAACGCGTCAGCACGTATGAACACAAGAAGACAGTTATATTACTCGGTCGGCGCTGCCACAACTACCATATTACCCCTCTCCCAACTCCAACCAACCCTCAAGTCAAACCTCACAGCTTATACCCACTAAGGGCATTCCCGTCCTTTCCTCCACACAACTCTCCACCACTTCAAAGGTCACACGTCAACCGGCAAACACCGTCACGTGTCCGTCAAGCCACGCCTCAACGCGTGCGACCCAAACGCACTCCCCCAATCCCGTGGTCCTCAAAACTCCACGTGTCGGTTACCCAACAAGTTTACCGGCAGCCGCCGGTCCCCCACCGGAGCCTCTTATATTGCGTTTCCACACCGTCGTGGAAGAAGTTTTTGATCACCAATCACAACAGAAACCGCGAGAAAATTCCCCATAAATCTCAACAGAAGAGAAGAAAACCGAAGCAGTTCACAATCAAATCTCTTTGCAACACATCGCCACAGAATTCAGCTCTGTACCACTTTGGATTTGGATCAGTTTTCGTGAGAGAAGATTAGAGAAGGAAGAAGCAGCATACAAGAACATGGTGGCTGAAGCAGAGGTTGTGTGTCAACAGAACATGGCTGTGCTGGATTTGAAGCATTTTCCGAATAAGGGAAGCGATGTTCACGAGAACGGAGATGCAGATGCTAATTCGCCTCCGAGTTTTGACCGAGTTCGTGCTTCTGAGTCGGTCTCTGCCGAGTTACTCACTTCACAACAAGTAAGTTTCTGAAGGCCCCCTTTTTCGTGTTTTCTTGTGACTTTGTCTGATTTTGTTGTTGGATGACGTAGATGCTCATAGGACGTGATGGGGTTCTTTAATTCTTTCTTTCCGCTTGTTCAATCACATGAATTCCTTGATTTATCTTTCTCGGATCAAGGTCCCAACAAAAAAGGAAAAAAAATAATTAAAACTTTTGGATCAGGAGTCAGCGTGTATGTTGAGCTTAGGTCAAGATATCATAATTCTGTTGATTTCGTTTAGGTTACTTACTTCCTTGTGTTACTTTTTCTATTTAGGAAGGAACTTTTGTTTAGGTTAATGGCTTACTTATGACGATTTGTTTGTTAGCAGCAACAATGGAATTTCTCTTTGCTAATTTGAAATTGAATTTATTGGTTTAGATAGATAAATATATGTTTGGGATGGATTTTATGGTAGTTGGTACGTAGAAGGCAACATGTGTTGTAGATTAAATCTTTCATGAAGATGTTCATAATTTTGCAACAGTTTTCCAAATTGTGATTTTAATTTTATGTCAGCTTTATGGTCATTTTGTGGTTTGGAGCATCATTGTTTCTTTGTGATGAACAAGTTAAGCAAAATAGTACATCTAGTTCTTGGATATATAGATTCTCATTTTGCTGATTTGCATTTAATTGCTGTGTAGGACGTTAGGTCTGCAGACAGGACCTCAGATGATACTCTTGAATCTGCGGTCCTGCAGTTTATTCCTTGCATCCGTTCTGGTAGTTTTGCAGACATTGGGCCAAGGAGATACATGGAAGATGAACATATAAGGATTGATGATTTGTCCTCTCATCTAGGATCACTATACAACTTTCCCAAACCAAGTGCCTTTTATGGGGTAATCAACTTTTCACCTGTCTCTTGATTTTGTTAAATCTCATTCCGAGTTTGACTGAGGTTTGGCAAATCTTCCAGGTGTTCGATGGTCATGGAGGACCTGAAGCTGCAGCTTATATAAGAAAAAACGTGATGAAATTCTTCTTTGAAGATGTCAGTTTCCCACAGACATCTGAAGTCAATAATGTATTTTTGGAAGAGCTAGAGGATTCTCTCAGAAAGACTTTTCTTTTGGCTGACTCAGCTTTGGCCGATGATTGTAGTGTGAATAGTTCATCAGGCACCACGGCCCTTACTGCTTTAATATTTGGAAGGTATATCCTAACTTTCATACTTAACATTCTCAATTCGCTTTTATTTCCACACTTTTAGCAGCTTACTTGCTTATATATAGCTATTTTACTTGATATAATATGTGCAGTTTCTTTTAATCAAATCCAGTGTCTTGTGCATGATCCGGGTGTTCTTTATCATTTGTTTAAGATTTGTTTTCCTACATTTGAATTCATATTGCTTGAACCAGGAAATATTGGGACAGATTCTGCCCTTGTTTCAATTTTTAATGTATTAATACGGTTTAGATTGAATGGAGATGAATTGCCTTCTATTATATTTGCTTTTTGCTGATTTCTAATATGCTTCTTCCAGGCTTCTAATGGTTGCCAATGCTGGTGATTGCCGAGCGGTTCTTTGTCGCAAAGGAGAGGCCATTGACATGTCTCAAGATCACAGGCCTATTTATCCAGCAGAGCGGAGGCGAGTTGAAGAATTGGGTGGCTACATAGATGATGGTTATCTCAATGGGGTTTTATCAGTTACTCGAGCATTGGGGGACTGGGACATGAAGTTACCAAAGGGTGCTCCCTCACCTTTGATTGCAGAGCCTGAGTTCCGGCAAGTGGTTCTAACAGAGGATGATGAATTCCTCATCATAGGATGCGATGGCATCTGGGATGTGATGTCAAGTCAGCATGCTGTTAGCCTTGTTCGCAGAGGCCTGAAGTGGCACAATGACCCTGAGAAATGCGCCAGGGACCTGGTTATGGAGGCATTACGCTTGAACACATTTGACAATCTCACAGTGATCATTGTATGTTTCTCTTCCCTTGACATGGAGCCAGAGCCATCTCCACCTTGCCAACGGAAATTGAGATGCTGTAGCCTCTCTGCAGAGGCTCTATGTAGCCTGAGGAGCTTGTTGGAAGGCAGTGCTAGCAACTGAATGTATATATACGATTCATCAAATAAAGTGTTGTTGAGATTATAAATGCTGTTTTAGGCTGCTTCAGTTTAGACATTGGAAACAGCAGCCTTCATTTTTTTACGTGGTCGGTTGATGTATATAGCCCGGGCTAGAGGATGGTGGTGTAAATATCTACTGTCGTTACATTATTTTGTACAATAATCAATTTTTGTTATGACTGCCACATTCATGTCAGATTCTTGTGTGTCAAAACACTTTGGAATATCTTAGCCTATATTTCATTATCTGTTAGCGATTATATGATAGGAAAGGCAGGGGGGTGAACCTCATACTCATTTTCCGATAGACATTTATAAATAGACTCCACACAGGAATAAGCCTCACTGGGCATTCTCAGTCCCTAGATGGTTTAACAAATTTTACCTGCTAGGATCTAAATCCAAACATTTCTGAAGTGTGCAAAGCAGCGTTACAAAGTTGGCCTTGCGGGTTTAAGAATTATTTTGCTTTCAGACCATGATTTCCATCAGCGTTATTTATACATAATTAACACTTAAAAATGGGGTAACCATTCATGCAACAAAAATTGGCATGATAATAACATTTCAATCAATGTGTAGACCAAAATCAGGTATGTTCACTTTTAGAATTGTAGTCCTGCTATAAAAATCAGGACGGTCATAATAAAATTTCAGATTTAGTAGCTTTTGGCGAATGTAGCAAATCTTTCCAAACCACGTCGTAGTAAACCTTCAAGGAAAGGTTGCAGTGCCTGCAAATTATATCATGGAGGGAGAAAAACATCAGAAAAGGGTCAAAGAGGTATCAGTGGTGACTGGTGAGAATATTCACAAACAGAACCACTTATAACTGGGTGAAAAGCCAAGACAAACGAATAAACTAGGAAAAAGTTTTCCACATTTAAATGAAAATTGGAGATTCTTTGGCGGTTTTTGTAAACTTAAGTAATTAGTAACTTTACTTTTTATTTTTATATTTGGGTCAGATTACTCACCGATGCCACTGGAGCTAAAATTTGGGGAACCTCATATGAGACTGTCAGCTGAAACAGACAATTTTTTTTTAAAAAATGTAATAGTTAGTGCTCGACTAAGGGCCCGAGGTAGAAAAACAGGGGAAAAAACTATATATTATAACTTCCAAATTTGCATAATTTCTTGTTAGAAGTTACAGCGTGGAAAAAAATTGTTAATGGGACCAAAAGGAAAAATTATTACATAAGATGCATACATGTGGTGCACCACCTAGTTTTGCACTGGACTGATAGGAATAGGCGATTATGAACATGCAGCTAGTTTGACAAATACTGCATTGTGAGAATTACAATCGATATAGTTGTGCCCAAAAATTTTCAAGAATTTGATGCATGGGATAGAAGTATGAAACTCCGCAAATACCAATATAGGAAAAATTGGTAGATAAAAGTTGAATAATAAGGATCGAATGCTTATAAATTCGACAGAGGTAAAACATGCCAAAAATTGTATAAAGGACCTTACTTCTACTACACACGATGAAGGACCTTTTGGATAGAATCGCACAGCACCTCTGCCACATGAGAAATCGAGCAATTAAAAAAGTCTTAAAAATACTGAATAATGTATCCATGCAACAGTCTTTTTAGCAGCTATAACATTTAATTTGGTTTTTGTTTTAATGACACATGATGAAACCTGTGGTTCAAGTGTGAATGCGGAAAAAGATGTAATAATGGATCTGTAACAAAAAGGGCCCACAATATGGAAAATTTGTTCTGGAAAGAATAAGGATGGTCCTAGATTTAGTTATCTTAGGTGCAGATGGTTAGCATTTTGAGGGGGCCTGGGGTGCATGGGAGACGGGATGTCATGAGTCTTGGAATTGTCATGCATTACGTGGGGCAGAGAAATTTTCTCTAAGGAGCTAGGCTCTGGCATAGGCTGTTTAGATGAAAGCTTTCTTGAAATTGAATAAAATCAGACTAAACCAAAATTAGGAATGCTTATAACTAGGAATTCTTTCATCATGATAGAAGCATTGCATTTCACATTGCTAGAGTTCACTGCCAGTGCACAAGCATAGATTCATCTAATATCTTAATGCAGAAACATAACATGAGCAACACAGATAAAGGAAAATATTAACTTAATTACTAAAATAGAAAATTTCACTGCTATAGTTGAAGGGTCTTTTTATTCCCTTAAATTACATGACACTATGCAGTATATTTAGTATATAATCCCACAAGTTTCAAGTCAGGCTCTAAGATTTGAAATTCTAACATGTTTATTTCTTAGGCATAAATGCTGGATATTGGCATTCCAAACCAGCAAAATATGACTATAAGAGCCTGCTAAGGACAAATATCGGAACAAACTACTTTTATGTACCTTCATTGCCGAAGTTAATAAAAGAATATAAAATCTTCAGCTTTATAACTTTAGGGCACTAGTGTAAGGAAGGATTTATCCTCCCTTGATTTTTTGGTATTCATATATAAGAAAAATGGCATAAACTCAAAATTAGGGGTGACAAATGAACTCATTTATTCATTATTCATCTGATTCATTCACACGTAAATCCATCCATTACAATAAAAATAATGTATCAGATCCAATCAATCCATTTAATTTTATGGATGATTAGTGATCCATCAATTATTTTTTCAAAATCCATTAGATTACAACATGTGATGTTTATTAGATTGAGATTTTAAAAGACTATTTTGACACACAAAAAAATCTTGTGAATTTTAAAAGACTATATAAGAATATAATGACTTTTAAAGAAAAGAAAGAGAAATAAAATATTTTAAAAATAAAAATTATTTAATATTTAAAACATTATTTTTATGGATAGATCATATGAATTTTTTGCTTTAAATGGATTGGATTTTTATATGAATTTTTAATGAATCTAAATGGATTAATGGATTATTTTTATCCGATCTATTATGATTCCTTATCAAAATCATAAAGTAAATTCTGTCTATTATGCATAAGCTAAGTATTATTTAATATTATGCATGGGAAGCAAAACAAAATATATGAGGAATGGTGATAATACCATCCATGTTTCACATATTCCTTTCTAAATACACTCTTGATTCCTCTCCTCTTTCTATCTTCTTTTTGACAAAAGTTAATGGTACAAAAAAGATTTTGTTGATTCTATTAATTTTCTAAATTACTTCAGCATATTATCAAGTATTTCAAGTTCACCTCTGGTAGCTGATCTAAGTATAATGGTTAACCACTGCTAGGCCAAACTACAACAATGTTTGGACAGTTCAATATGATATAAAGGACAGTCAACATAGAAACGTGTATCTGAACTTCCCTTGGCTGTCATACATCTTAAATATCTTCACAATGTTGAACTACCAAAATTTCCAAGAGTCAATCAACCACATGATATTCACTTAGAAAATGTCCTTGTAAGTTACCTATTTGGAAGACCTTCCATAGATCGCCAGTGGATTTTCTGATTTGGAATGGGCTGCAAGAAGGCGATATAACATGAATAAAAAATACCAATTGTAACTAAGGAGAATTTATTGAAAATAAATTATAGCATCAGGTTGGGGATCTTTTCCTGCATATTACGAGCAAGCCACGAGAATTCAATATCACGACCAAATGCCTTATACTTCAAGGCCCATCGCGACAGGTCAGGTTTGTCCGGCAATATCTGTGAAATAAATACAACATTTGCATTGCATAAAATCAAAATGCGAAAAATAAATTACGATTATTTAAATGAAAATTGCAGGATTTCAGTATTCGTAGCAACATCTGGATCCAAAGGAAGAATGCCTACATGCCAACCCTAATGTCATCTCATTCCCACTAGGGGACAAGGCAGGGGATCAAAGATTTCACACCCAATCTAAATGTTTGACTAAGCAATGAAAAACAAGCAAAAACTATATCTTATGTGTTACACTTAACAAACTATAATTTCTGATTATGGCTGGCCCTTCCAATTTATAAGGCTCCATACTTGCATAACATCCTGAGATATTTTATGATGCTAAGAAAAACATGAGTGCATGATATAAGTAATTTAAACAACTACGGGGCTTCATCCTCTCCTCGCAAGACCCAATATCAGTAACTGAGAAAAGTGATCCTTAGAATAGAGGGTGAGAAGTAAATTAAAGCAAGCAGACCTTAACAGAGGAAATAAAGGGCATCCATTTTGGGATGGCTTCGCGATCAGAATAACAAGCATAGGCTACAGAGACGGGCACATCAATCTCCATCTTAACCCTGAAATAGGAAATATTCGTTTCTTATTGGAAAGTGAGTAAAAACTGATAGGAATTGGACAATAATACAACGCTAATAACATGACATTTCCCTCTAATAGTGGAAGAGGGTTTCTAAAGCACTGGTTGAATGTGAAATTGCTGCAAAGGAATCAAAGTAAATCTCAAATGCCGAGTAAATTGGTAACAGTATGAAAAATAGAGAAGCGAATACGTGCAATCCTGCCACTCCATGACGGGGGAAAAGCGCTTGAAGCCATGGAAGGTTGAGGTTCGCTTAGAGTGAGGGAGCTTGAAGAGGAGAAGATTGGAGGAGAGAGGAGTAGCGGGGAAGCTTGTGGAGGCAAATGCGATTCTACGTGTGGAAGACAAAGGGGTCAACGCTGGTGTTGTTGAAATAGAGCCTACTATAGTTGCAGACATGGTCCAATTTTTCAGAATTCAGACACACGCACGCAATTCTCTTCGCCCCTCTTTCTCTTTTTCTCTCTCTCTCTCTCACCGTGACAATAGGATTTCTGATACAAGAATCAGCATCGCACGTTCATGTGCTAATGTTCTTGTGACGCTGATGGATCCCACTTCATTTTGTTTCACTTGCAATCTTGGGCTTTCTAGTGTTCAACGCCAACGCTGCGGCCCAAACCAAACTGCCGAATATATTCCATCAACCGTTCTAACTTTTCAGTGTTGAGCCAAACTTTAAAATCATCAGAATTTTATTTTCAGTACAGTTGTTTGATGAAGATTCGCTAGTGCTGTATATGAAGGGAAAAAATAACTTTATCAGAAGAGACAAGATTCACTTGGTGGGGATCTATACACGTAGAAGGAAATTAACTTTTGATTATCGAGAAAATAATTTGAAAGTTTCTTCTACATTCCCTTTGTGAGCGAGCACTTTCTCCTTGGAATTATGGTGCACTTTCTTTCACTTTTGCACCTCTCTCACCTTTCTTTTTCTTTTTAAAAAAATATAAATTAGGTGATTTTAAATCATATATTTTTAATTAGTCTTCATATGACATGTAATTAATATTATTAATTTTTTTTAAAGATGATTATTAATTGAGATCATAGAATTTAATAGTTTTGAATTATTTAATAATTTTTTCTTTTTTACACGTCAATTTTATCTCTCTTTCTTCTGCATTTGTGGCTTTTATTCCTTTAATTTGTCAAATTGGTAATTTAGTCTTTCTAATTTTAATCACTGAAATTAAGTCTTTATACTTTTAAATTTAATGAAATTCAGTCGTCTTTGATTTATCGTTAAATTATTCAAGGTGTTAGGTGACTAGACTTTTATTTTAATGATGTGGCAACTAAAAGTAAAAATAATCAAAATTTTAAAAACAAAATAAAAAAGATAAGAGAACTAATGCAATCAGATTTTCAAAGTTAAAATGTGTCGCTATGTTCTCAAAAACCTTGTGAGAAAAGAAATAACTTCTTAGTAAACAAGAAAGACAAGAAGAATGGAGAAAGTACTCTTGCATGAACAATAAAAGCAAACATGAAGAATAAAAGCAACTAAGCATCTTACTACTATTGACTTCAATTATTTGTGCTCACAACAAGAGCTAAATCAAATCAAGGTCAGTTAGACTCAATTCCCAATTTATTGGAAGGATCAAATCAAAACTATGAATTTTGACCTAGTGATATACAATTTTTTGGGGGAGAAAACATTTCAAACAACTATAGATTCCAATAACAAATTTTAACTTTGTATATTATATATTACTTGAACAAATTGTTTTGTTTATATTTTTGGATCTTTGTTTATTTTGTAGGCCAACAATATTTAATGAGTAGATTAAGAATACACTATGGGGATTTTTTGTGCATCATCACAACTAAATATCTAATAGGTTTGTGTAATTAGACAAAGTTGGATGGAATGTAGATGAAATGTTTGTCATTGACATATCAAAGTATATCAAAAGTTTATGTGATCAAGAATTTAGATGTGTTTGATACAAACACCCTGAATTTGACTTGAGTAAAGGTGAGGCCACTTAATAATGATGTAAGTTATTCAATTTGCAAAGGACATAAAAGATTATGATTATCTAGATATTTTTGTGGAACGCTTATAGTGTGTTTGGATAGAGAATTTAAATGGAATAATTCATTTGTTTGAAGAATTTTAAATTCTTTGTAGTGAAATATCTTATTTGAATGGAGAATTTATAAGTAATTTGAAATTCAAGCATTTATGAAATTCCTTAAAATAGTAGAATTTTAAATTTTTCCAAAAAAGTAAGAATTTGAAATTTTTCATTTTTTTCTTCTTCTTATTTTACTTATATATTTTATCTTATTTCTTATCTCTTCATGTGTTTTAATTATTGAATATTCAAAAATATATTTAAAATTATTAAATATTTAAAAATTAGCTAATATTTATTTTTATAAAAATTAATTTAAAAATCTCAACACATAAATATATTTTTAAAATCAATTTTACCATGGTATAATCAAATTACTATATACAACCTAACAATTTAAAAATTTTAAAAATTTAAATTGACTTATCCAAACAAAATATTTTATTAATGATAGAAAATAAAATCAAATTAATTCAAATATCAATAATTTAAAATTCTTTGAATTTATCAAATTCTTCATCTAAACACACTTTTAGTGGATGTGCCTTTAATTAGTGAAGGTCAAATTAACGTCACAAATCATAAAGTTAAAGTTATAAATGTTAATGTTTTTCAAATTCTTAATATTACAAAATAGATAAAAATATAAATATTTTATACAATTAAAAAATTATTTGCTACTTTATTATTTTAAAATGTTTAATATTATATTTAAAATATAATAAATTATACTACTTGATTACATATTTTCAAATCTAAATCATGTAAAAAAACATTATGTAAATCATCATCGGATCATCATCATATAATATAACAATGTGATTTAATAGATTGATAGATAAGATTTACTTATAATAAAAAAAATAAAAGTTCATTTCACCATAATTTCAGATAACATAAAATTTGTTCAAAGCATAATTTCTATATCAAAATAAATTAATTATAAACGAAAAAAAGATAATGCCCATTATATTCTGGCTCCAATGTACGAACGGACACCCAATTGTTTAGAATTTAGATAGACACCTTGGAAAGCTATCCATATGACTAAAATTTGTTAATCAAGCAAATATTATATTTTTTAATTTAATAAAAAAAATAATTTTTAAAAAGGTATATGAGAGGTGTTTTTGTCATGTAGTAGTGGGTAACATTTTTCGTTTTTTTAATGTCAAATCATCTAAAAGAAATGCCCTTACTAACTTTTTCTACAAGAGAAATAGCCTTTTCCATGACTAGGTCCTCCATTTATTAATTGCAAATGCTATTACATTTTTCAAACTAAATTAAATTAAAGGCCATAGGGGGCATCAAAAAATGGAAACGTTCTCCGTCAGCTGAAGTGGTTGCTGCAGCGTGATTTCTATTTTGGTGGAGTGCCAAAGTTCCCCTTTTACTGGTGCCCTAAACCATCGAGGTTTCACGGGGTGAACCCTTTGGAGTTGACGGCTTCGGAGGCTGTCGTCGTTGAGAGTCTCTCGGCTTTACCCCGCCTGTTGGA